CTCTCTCTCTCTCTCTCTCTCTCTCTCTCTCTCTCTCTCTCTCTCTCTCTCTCTCTCTCTCTCTCTCCCTCTCTCTCCCTCTCTCTCTCTCTCTCTCTCTGGGCTGTGCCTGCTTTGTTACTGGCCACAGTTTGCTTTGACACAGATACAGAGTTGCTCTGGGACAGCCAATAATGAGATCATATTAACTGGATGTGCATGTGCCTGTGTGGGTGTGCATGTGTATGTGAGCACACGTGTGTGTGTCTCTCTCTGTGTATGCATGTATATTTGTGTGTAAGCATGTGTGTTGTGAGCATGTGTGCACTGTATATATTATGTATAATATGTGTGTCTCTCTGTGTATACATGTCTATTTGTGTACAAGCATGTGTGTTGTGAGCACGTGCACACTGTGTGTATTATGTATCATATGTGTGTCTCTCTGTGTATGCATGTCTATTTGTGTGCAAGCATGTGTGTTGTGAGCACGTGCACACTGTGTGTATTATGTGTCATATGTGTCTCTCTGTGTATACATGTCTATTTGTGTGCAAGCATGTGTGTTGTGAGCACATGCACACTGTGTGTATTATGTATCATATGTGTGTCTCTCTGTGTATACATGTCTATTTATGTACAAGCATGTGTGTTGTGAGCACGTGCACACTGTTTGTATTATGTATCCTGTGTGTCTGTGTACATGTGCAGGAAGGTGAGAGAAGATTGTGGAATAAGTTATAGTGAGTGATTCAGCCAGGAGAGAGGAAATGCCAGTTATATAGAAACTGGTTCTGTAGATGGAGAATAAATAATTGCCAATTGTTCCATTTGTGTACACCCTCTCTCTCTTGGATTCTCCCAAACAAGTTCTCCCTGAAAGATTCCCTCTGAGCCTTCTACTCTGACAGGTAGGAGAGAGAGAGGTAAACAGGTTTCCCTGGAAACATTAGGCACAGGTCAAACACCTGCTCAGGCTCAAGTCAGAGCTTCTACTAAAGGCAATGCTGGGGTAATCCCTTAAAATCAACTCAGTATAATACTGAACTCCTTCCTGGGGCAGGGGCAGAGGGAGACAGACAGCTGGCATGTGTATGGAATATGGGACTTCCATGACAGATACCTCTGGATGCCATGGGGCTGTGTCAATGAGCAGAGGAGGACAGAGCAGCTGTCTGCACTCTGCACAGCTGGTCAAAGAAGCCTGGTGCTTATGTCTTTCAGGAGTTTGCCGATTCCGTATCCCAGCTGGTCACCCAGAAGTTCCGCGAGCTGACCATGGGCCTAACGTCCGTGCACGCCCGCCACAAGGCACTGGCAGGAATCGTCATGACCAAAGGTAACTGCCTCTTCCGTTCCATGGGGGTTTCATCTCCCAAGGAGGGAACACTAGTGCTTCCCTGATTTGGAGAACCAAAGGATGATTCTCTCTTCTACCCAAAGTATAATACAAGGAGACCTGTGACCAAGTGGGTGACCAGGAAAACCTGCACTGACCATGAGGGTGTAAGCAGGCCTGCAAAACACACCTCTGCACAAGTTGCTCCCACTTTCCATGCAGAAGGCAGAAAGGGCCTGCCCTGGTTCTTCCTTCAGGCGTTTTCCACGGGCCTCGTCCTCTGAAAGAATTTATGATGCCGGTATTTATAAAAGCTGGAACCTGAGGTCAGCCTCAGCCGCAGAAAGTTACTTGAGGCTGACAGGAAAGACCAGGCCTGGCTGCTCTGTTACTCCCAACATGCCCCAGACCTTCGATCTGTCAAGTGTACAGAACATGGGTCACCAGGACTGGGGATTGGGACCAACATGAACAATGACTTTCTGAGGGACATTGGTTCTCACAGTCTCTGATTCCCATAGCCAATTGCTTTCATGAGCCTATCTCAGACCAGAGTCTAAGCCTTCCAATGCACTGGCGAGAGGCTCAGAAGGGAGAAAAGGAGGGCACAGAGGGATGTAGGGAGACATGGAGGGACACAGGATAACACAGAGAGGGATGGGAGACGAGAGGGACGTAGGAGAATGCAGGCATCATAGAAAAGACAAGGGGGCACAGAGAGGACATAGAAGGGACATGGGGAAATAAGGGACATGGGGGACTTAGGGGACAGAGGGGACACAGGTGCAGGGTAGATGCAGGGAACACAGAAGGTGGCTGTGACTCCTTTAGAGACTCTCAGCCTCTGGCTTTTGTGGGCCAAGACCTTCTGAGCACCTGGTCCTCTGTCTCCCTCTCCCACCTTCTCACCTTCTCGCCCTCTTGTTCTTTCATCTTCTACCGCCTTTCCCTTTTCATTCCTTCTCTGGTGGTTTTGAATCCCTATGTGGTGCCACTGGGCACAGGCCAGGCCTTTTCAGAGAGTGTCACTGAGAACTCCAAGCCCCACCTGCTGATCTGTAACAACCCTGCCACCATCACCACCACCAAAATCGTCCTTCCTGATGAGTCTCTGCATCCCCATCTGCCCATGGCAAGGGGTGGGGCAGAATTCCATTTCTAGAGACAGGATGACATAATGGGAAGAAAACCGTTAATGAGGAAAGTCTGGGAGGGGACCTCTTTAATAAGCCAGGCTGGAAGAAAATGATGTGGAATTTGAGTAATCAGCTTTATGAAAACACCTAATTATTAACCTAGTCATAATAATGAACCAGTGGTTATTTTGATCCAACTGTTTCTTTTCCAAAGTTTGGCATGAGTTTGTAATGACTAGGAGAGGGAATGCTTATTGTGAAAAATAATGAACTTTGGGTTGAGTGTCATACACACACACTTGCTTCTGCATGTGCGGACAAAGCCTAGAACTGAAGAAGACCACTAGTTACATGAGGTCCAAAAATGCTTATGTTTAGCAATAAATTAAAACCACATGAGCTGGGCACTCACAGAAACACATTGGCACTCCTGTGTGCCCAAGATTCTGAGGAGCTGGAAGTTAGGGAAAGGAGATCATGGCACTGTAAGCCCCTCTTAGGGCTCGCTCTCTCTCTCTCTCGTGTGCATGTGTTCTTCCTATCATGAATAAAATAAATAAGCTTAAAAACAAAAGAATTGCATACTTCCCCTGTCCTCCCACACCCCTCAAGACCCTGTCTTAGATGCCACACAAGGACAAGTCACTTAACCTTTCCAACTTGGGCATTCCTAGTAAAATGGAAATAAATATGCTTCCTAGCAGTGGGATATGATGAGTGAGATACAGTATATGAAATGCTATGAAAGGTAAAATTTACTTTACAGATGTCCTGTTCTAAGCCAAAGCAATTCCATTTTGTCAGTGACACCATTGTATGTGGTGGCATGCATACCTCCTAAGCCACTAACCTGTGCCCCTCTTTCATACATGTAATGACAGTCACCTCTCTGCAGAATGGGAAATATTCTAAATCCAGGGCTAGAAGGCTATCTCAACAGAGGTGATCACTGCTGGATGCAGCCATTGTTTGACCCAACCAACCAGCGGCCACTAAGCAGATGCCTCTATTCACCATGCACTGTTCTGCATGCACAGGAGATGACAGGAAATACACAGCTCCCCCACTGCCCACTCAGAATGGAACCATCTTATCAAGAAGCAATAAAGACGAATTCAGATCAAGAGCAGGTTCTGGCACCAAAATGCTTAGGTCTGCTCCACCTGCAACTAGCTCTGTGACCTTAGTCTCTGTGACTTGATTTTCTCACCTGTATAATGGAGGTAACTATAATTCCTTCCTACTAGGGAGATTTCGAAGGTTAAATGTGTTAAGGTAAATAATGCACTTGGAAAGACATGTAGCCCATAGTAAGAACCACAGAACTGTTCATTCTTAGTAAAGGTTATTTTCTATCCACAAATTTTTTGCTGATTGCATGCCATACTGAATTCTGAAAAAAAGCAGAGAACAAAATAGAAAAAGTGCCTACCCTGATGAATCTTATAGTCTAGCATTAAATCAATCACAAAGAACAAATTAATTCTAATGTAAAAACAACTATGACAGAGTTAAGTGCCCAGAGTTATAGGATAGCATAATAACGCTAAGACAAATTTAAGATTTTGGACTGCCATATACATTTCTGCCTCAGATTCTAGGATAACTCAGGTTAAATTAGTGTTTAGGAAAGAAGGAGGTGGAGAGGTAAGAAAGACAGCAGGTACTGTGGCTTCTTCGTTATGCAATGTGTTTTCAAAAAGATGATTTGGTGAATAGATTTTCATCATTTCCCAGGGCCAGAGTGTGATTTTCCAATATCTTTCCACTTTTCTGGGAAATACAACTCTGGCAAGTTTTGGAAGCTACTGTCAAACTGCACTTAGAAAACAACAATATTTTACAAAAGTTTTGAGGGGAAAAAGATACTTCCAAGTATCCTTGAGTGCTACAGTGAGCAGAGGCTCTGGTTCACAAAAGAATAAAAAGGACTCTGACAAGTACAGGTTTCTGATCATTTTAGACAAGATAAGAATTTTCCCAAACTTAGGCTGGCAGATAGTGTAGTGGTTAAGGTGCAAGACTCCTACACGGTCTACTGTGGTTTGAGTCCTGGACATGGTGGTTTGCTTTCTCACTTTCTCTCTCTCTCTCTCTCTCTCTCTCTCTCTCTCTCTTCT